ATATATCAGAACTACTGTGAAGAAGTAGCCATCTCGTTTGCTAAATAGAGCATAATCAAATTTCGATTGCCTGAAATTCTGAGAAAGTATGTACGAGGTGAGCTTGGTATTCCATGGCCTCAATGCTTGCTTGAGTCCATAAATAAACTTATTTAATTTGCAAACCAAAGGTTCTCCATTCTCTCTCTGATGTTCGTATCCCATAGGCATCAACATGTACACCTCTTCATCTAATTCCCCATGTAGAAAAGCGTTGTTGATATCTAATTGGTGAAGATGCCAACGTTTTTCAGCAGCAACAAAAAGCAAAGTCTTAACAGTCACCAACTTCACAACTGGAGAAAACGTTTCTTCATAATCCATTCCAACCTGTTGAGTGAAGAGTTAAGCCACTAAACGGGCTTTCTTTCTCTCCTTAGAGCCATTAAAATTAAACTTCACTTTGAAACCCATCTACAGACACAGGTTTCTTATGTGCAGGTAAAGGGCTAACGGTCCAAGTATTGTTGTATACAAGAGCCTGATACTCAGCATCTATTGCTTTGCACCATTCTAAATGTTTGGATGCCTTAGCAAAAGATCGAGGCTTATAACAGAAGACAGAGCCAATGTGTATCTTCTTTGAGAAGGAGAAAGCATGGTATAATCCAGATAGTCACTAATAGAATACTAATTGCCAAAACCAGAATTCTTACCCAAGACAGAAGTTTTCTTCATTGATTCTGATTGAGGAACAGACAACTGAGAGACTAGACTACAATGGTAATCTTGTAAATAAGAAGGTACTCATTTAGGTCTAGTGGATTCTTGTGTGAGAGATGGAACAGCAGGTGAAGGTGAAGATGAAGGTGTAGCAGGATTGGAAGAATGATGTTCTATACTGAGATTTGATGGAGTGGAAATAGGATTGGATTGATGAGAAGAATCAGGATAAAGAAACGGTTGAACTGGAAAAAGAATAGGATTAGATGGATTATCAGTATCAAACTTAGACAAAGATTGAAGCAGAGAATTGTGAAGAAAGAGAAAAATCTTCTCATGGAAAACAACATCTCTAGCAACAAAGGTAGTTTTGAAGTGAAGATTGTATAGCTTATAAACTTTCATGCCATAACGATAACCAAAAAATATGCATGGAATGGCCCTTGGATCAAACTTTGTTCGATGACGTTTGAGAGTAGACACATAACAAAGACAGCTAAATACCCTTAGGTGAGAATAGGAAGGGATGGCATGATAAAGCATTTCATATGGTGATTTGTTTGCAAGGATTAGAGTAGGTGTTCTGTTGATGATATAAGTTGTTGTTAAAACACATTCCCCCCAAAAATGATGAGGCAGGTTAGCTTGAAATTTTAGAGCCCTGGCAATGTTAAGCAAGTGTTGATGTTTTCTCTCAACCACACTATTTTGCCGTGGGGTTTCAACACAGCTCAACTAATGAATGATTCCTTTTTCCATATAAAAATCAATCATATGAAACTCAAGTCCATTGTTAGACCGAAGGGTTTTAATGTTGCACTGAAAATGTGTTTTGATGAGATGATAAAAGGACTGAATTATGAACCTGGTTTGAGACTTATCACGCATTAAGTAGGTCCAGGTCATTCTAGTATAATCATCTACTATAGTTAGAAAGTACTTAGAACCATCCAAAGAAGGAACGGAATATGTCCCCAAATGTCACAATGGACAAGATCAAACATATTAGATACCTTTGTTTCACTAAGTGGGAAATGCAATCTGTGTTGTTCAGCAATGGGGCATATACTACAATGTAAATCTTTGTTGACATGAATGGAGGGAACAATTTTCTATAACAATGATAATTTTGGAGTAGGAACATGCCCCAATCGACAATGTCAAATGTCAATATCTGAGATGAAACTGGTATTAATCGAGGACTTACAAGCAGTGTAATTTGCTTTATTAGATTTCAAAGACGAAACAAGATGATAAGAGGGAAAGACAGAAGGAATAGATTTAACATTCAGAAGTGTTTTAAGTTGTTGAAGCTGAGGCTGAGTATGAAGTTGATGGCCAGATTGTTGAAGGTGATATAGTGCTCTCTCAAGATTGGCTACCCCAATCATCTTCCATGTCGAAAGATCATGAATAAAACAAGAATGATGTATGAATAACAAGCAGGATTTATGTTTAAGTGTCAAGTTACTGGTAGAAATTAAGTTGAATTTGAAACATAGCACAACAAGAACATTAGTCAGCACTAAATCATCTGATAACTATCACCACTGGGTAAGCTCATGGAGGCATCAACCGCAGTCATCACAGTAGTCAAAAGTTGTGACAGAACAAACCATGTGTTCTAAGGCCCCTGTATCAATGATCCATTTATTTCTGATTTCAGGATCAGTGAAACACATATGGGTTACCTGAGAATGCAAAAGCATCAGAAATAGAGAAAGATGAAGCTTCCTGAGATGGATGAGCCTACTGATTAAAGTTGGCTAATTGATCTTGCAACTTTGGCACCAGTACAGAGAGGATTTCCTGACATTGATTTGGGGTAATGGTGAGATGTGAAAGAGACTTCAGTAGTTCAGTATTATCACGATGAGATGTATGCTCAACAACTTTAACAACTGGAGTGCTTCCTCTACCAATTCTATGACTAGGAGGATATCCTATCACTTTGAAACATGTGCTCTTAAGGTGGCCTGGCATTCCACAATAACTGCACACATGCTTGTCTCTTTTTTTATACGAAGTGAATCTCTGATTGCCAAATGAAGTAGACCTTTGACCATCGAATGGAATAAGCCTTTGATTGCCTAAAGGCTTCTGCATCGTCTTGCTGGCAAAAGCTGCAACATCAAAGTTTTGTTGCTTCTTTGAAATGACCTCTTTCTGCCTCTCATCTTGCAAAATTAATACAAAAACTTTGTTCAATGATGGTAGTGGATCCATCAACAATATTTGACTTCTAACAGCAGAAAATTGTTCATCTAATCCCATAAAGAATTGCATAACTTGATCTTCGCCTCTGTTGTCAGTGTTAGCAACATTAGGTCTATAGTTATCTAATTCTTCCCAAAGACCTTTGAAGCGATTGAAGTACGAATTAACCGAAGTATTTGCCTGTGAAATTGAAGCAATTTGCTTCTTCAATTCAAAAACACGAGGACCATTGCTCTAACTATAGCGATCCCAAAGCTCAATCAATATTTCCCTTATCGAATCTTTGTGCATCACGCTAGGATACAGCTCTTTTGGAATGAAATTGATTATCTAAGAAGAAACCACATGATTACATCTTCTCCACACACTGTAAAGAAGATCCTCAGCACTAGGTCTGGCAATAGATCCATCTATGAAAATCTCTTTATTTTTTACGCTGAGTACCATCATTGTAGCGCGACTCCAAGTCGCGTAATTATCCTCACCAAGCACAACAGAGATGAGCTGCATCCCGATGTTATCACCATAATGGAGGTAGTATGGGCTACTTAGATCACTCATCAATCGACTGACCATAGAAGCTACATCACAAGCAATGGCTTCTTCAGCTGATGACTCGTTGGATGAATTAATCTGATCACACTGATCTCGAACCTCTGTCTGAACACTGGAATTTGCCATTTCCAAGAAAAGTTACTGCTCTGATATCATGATAAGATGCAGAGGAAATGGAAGAAACTTGTTCCTGTTTAATTGTTTTTATTAGTTGAAAAAAAAAGGGTGAAAAGAGGAATTGTTCCACTGTTGTCAAAATTTTGTATTTTTATTTAATATCCCTGAATCCCTCTCCCAAAAAAAAAAAATTGGGGGAATAATAGTGATATTGAAAAATCATTTGCAAGTTAGATATTATAGTTGAGTCTGAATCCAATAGTCGTGCTGCTATTGATACATAAAAGGGCTCTTCTAATATGTTACGGGGGGTAGCAACATATTTTTTATACATCAATAGTCAATCAATTCAAATAAAATTTGAATATTTTAAGAAATAGAGTACTGAATTTTTTAACTTAATAAATGCAATCATTATGAATGAAAAATAGATAGTGGATTTGGTTCTCCAAATTTCACTCTCTATTTTAAAACGTTAGAATAGTCTCTTGAACTTATTTTTAAGTATTGACTCTTTAAAATAACATCTTATATTTAGGAAGTCTCTTGAAAATGTTTTTTAGACCTTTTTTTTGGGACAATTGGAGTGCCTCAAAATACGGAGTTGGAGAATGGCAGGTGGTAGTGGTAACACTTCAAACGATGTTAAGAACGTTTCTATTCAAGTAAAAAAAATCTTGAACCAAAATATATCCTTATCATAGAATGGTTCTACATGAAATTGGAGCAGGCGTGCAAAGAGTGTGTGTGACTTTTCACATGAAAACGGTTCATAACGAAAAATTTTGATTTTTCAATAAGGTGCAATCTAGACCATTAATTTGAAATTATGTGATCTAATGGCTGAAATTAATTTCTGTCAAAAGGTGTGGCTATTCGAAGAGATACATGAAAAAAAAAATATCATAATTCCATTTTTCTTAACTTCAAATCAATTCCAATATAATTGATTTCTAATTCTTTCTTTCTTCAAATTTTATTAAAATAATGTCCAAATTATTTTCCAGTTTAGCATTCGATATTTTTTCTAGAAGAGTACAATCAAGTGTTGGTTCGCTTGACAAAATTAGCATTGTGCTAAATTAATTTTGGGAAAAGTATTGTATCTTGAGAAATTGACATTCATTTGATCATGTTAACACTAGTACAAGGACAAAATCTATTTTAAGGAGATTTGCATTCATATACCACTTCATTTCATCTCCTTCTATTTTCACATGCCTCCACGCTAAATTTTAAATCCAGAAGTTTGCACAACATTTTCAAAAAATTCTTGAATAGTTTTCAATTTTGCCACCACAATTAAAATTTTGTGAAACTTGTAGCCNTATTTAATAAATAAACGAATCTGCACTGCAAGTGAAAAGATTATAAAGACAAAATTGAAATAAAAAATTTTGGTGACTTATCTAGTAGCGCGAGTTTTCAATTTTTAAGACCTGACCTGCCGATAGAGCACGAAGTGGTTTTCCTCGAGAGTCTCTTGCATCCAAGATTATTCTTGTTCTATAGTGACCGTTCAACTCGTAAAAATCAGAAATGGACATAGAAATGCAGGCATGAATAGTCTTCCCAACCCATGATCCCATATCAACTATAACTCCAACTCCAATTTCCTCAGCGCTATAGTGATCAGATGGTGAACTAATAAAATTTGCAGCACAAAACTGATGTGATAAAAGGCCAAAGAAAACGAAGAATCTAAGAACAGTGTTTCTGCAAAAAATTGCCATTTTCTTTTCATCAGTTAGCTTGGACTGGAAGCAATACCGCCCGGTGTTCTTATTAATATGCATAATGCTGAAGTTGACAAAGACTTGATAACCGTAACGTGATGAAACGTGGAATTGTCATTTTTATTTTTAACTGATTTACAAGTCAACTACACGACTTATATTTTGTATGCAAATTAATCCCTACTTGGATGCAAGAAAAAAAAATTATTATGGATCTCGTTCTTTACAAAACTCCCTTATATATACCTAGAGTTGTGTAGGTTTTAGGGTGAATGGCACGAAATCCCCGTAACCTTTATCCCTATTGTGGAATACTTTTCTATCCTTTTATTTTGGCAAAATACCTTTCTACATGACATTTTCAGTGCACACGATGTCCTTCCGTACAAACCCGTTAGTGGAGCCTTTATTTCCACTTAAGAGGGTCAAAATGAATCATTTCTAAAATAGCAATAAAGTATTTCCTTACCTCCTTCTGAAGGGTAAGATATAAATTTTTTAACCAGTATAATTAATGGCTCCACTAACGAATTTGGACGGTGTTGGGAGGCGATCACACAAGTTAGCTCATAAATGAACAAATATATATGTGCGAAACAGAAACAAAGAACTGAAAGTATAACTTAAGAATCCGAAATATAAAGAATAGGAAATTGAACTAAAACACAAAAGTAAACTGCAAAATGAAAGAGGAAACGTATCTGTTATTATCAACGACCCACAGGCCAAAGTCCATACAATCAGCGCCTCAATCTTGAATAATAACCACAGCTATAATTCGAATCAAGCCCCAAGGTAAGGATTACGAAACGAAAGCACTCCGACCAGACCGATTATTACACAAAATAAGAGATCTCTCTTCGCAACACATGGTTCACACAAGAACCAACCCTTAAACAATGAAATCACACTCGATTTACAAGCTATTGAGAGAAAATCAGAAATCAAAATGAGAATATCTAATTACAGCAGAGAATAAGAGAACAACGAAGCAAAAGGCGCAGCTGCAGAGAGAAAATAGAAGAGTCTCAAAGCCAATCTGTTGCACAAACCCTAGACGCCTCATTTATATAAGTCACTCAACAGTCACCAATCCAACTACGTTGGAGGCGACATGTGGTGACATCATAGGGGTCAAAAAACATGTAAGTAAAAAACACAACTTTAAGCCAGCCAACAAACACGTTTTAAATCAACAGAGAAAATGAGCTAGGCCTTCAATTCCAGCTGGGCCAACATTTTCGGCCCAATGGTCGTTTAGCATCATTGTGCCACAATTTCCTTTCAGACGGTAAAGATTTTTCACATGAAAAAAATCATATAAGTGGGTATTCCGTAATAAGGATAAAGGTTATGGGTGTTTTGTGCCATTTACCCTAGGTTTTAAGTATATTTACGCCTTAATGTTTTGTAAAGAATATCTCTAAAAGACTATTTATAAAAAAATATCTTATATAATAGAGAGTATATTTAAATTTAGAGAGTGAAACTTTTATGCATATCTGCAATACTTTCTATTTTTAATCCTTATTTTATGTTTTTCAAGAAATATTTATTGATTTCTTTTCATCTTTTACTTATCATATTATTTTATACATAAATGGCCATCAATTCAAATAAGATTTTAATAATTTAAGAAATAAAATATTTAAATTTAGATTTTATTAAATACAATCATTATAAAATAAAAATGAAGTGTCTGTTTGACCGATCTCCAAATTTGGAGAGCCAGATCCACACCTTATTTTAAAAAGTTAGAATAGAGAGTTTATTTGAACTTACTTTTTAAGCATTAACTTTCTAAAATAGAGAGTGTCTTGTATTTAAAAAATCACTTATGGTGCATTTTATTGTCAAAATTTTTTATGAAAAATATATTTTTTTCTACCTAATTTCCTGCCTTTATGTTTCATCGACATTTTTTTCACGAAAAATATTTTCTTACTTTTGGTCACGTGATCATATTTTCCTTGAAATAAGGAAAATATTTTCTTTAGGGAGGGATATTTTTTATTTTCCATGTAGTTCACTCTCTTTTTCTCTCGCTCATATACCTACCAATAAAAAATGGACAAATATAATATTTTATAGATTAAAAACTAAATCAATCAAACACATTTAATTAATAATTTACATATAAATAAGTTCAACCAATTGAATTGTCTAAAATTTATTTTATTTCATATAAATTTCATACTCGTAATCAAAAGCATCCTTATAGATACTCTAATGAGGTTACAATTAATAGTTTGAGGATACTGGAGACTTTCTTTGGTTATTTTCCTCTTTTTTTGTTTAGATCTTGTGATTATTTTTTATCTTTTATATTCTTGTTTTGTTTCTTTCTAATTTTTTTTATTTACTTATTTATTCAAATGGAGGTGTATTTGATATTTTGAACCGTTTGAAGAGTTGAATTGAAAAGAAATTGTGTAGAACGAAATGTACTAATTAATTGACAGGTTGAAAATGAATAATACCAATAAAATTGATTTGCGGCATGTCCAATCATTTTTCCGAAAATCGACAACGAGATATGTGACTTTGCCTACAAAGAAAAAGAAGAGCCAATTGAGGTCTTAACACACATATATTTTGGGTTAATTACACTGAATATCACTAAACTTTCACTCCAATCACAATCGAGGTCACTGACTTCAATTTGAAGCAATCAAGCCACTAGATTTAAATTTAAAGCTTACCAAAATTCAATGTACATTAATACTAACTAAGCCCCTGTTTCAGCCACATTAAAATTTTCATTTTCATTTTTCTACTCATTTTCAATCACACATTTTGCAATAAAATAATATTTTCCATCACATCAATAACTTTTCCTTTTTTTTCAACCACATATTCTCAATCAATCCATTATCCCAAAATACATTCTTTCAAAATAATGTGGCTCAAACACACCCTAAATGTCAACGTGTCGTCTCAGTTGGCAAATTAATAACTTTGAAGGTCAATGAATTATCATCCTAATAGCAATCAAGTCACTCAACTTTCGTCTATTTGCTATTTGTGTCATTGAACTTTAACCAATAATATAGTCAAGTATAGTCAAGTAACTTTAGTGAATAAGTGAGTTAGAAAAATACTTTACAGACCAACTTAATATTTTGCAAAAAAGTTCGTTGCCACTGTAATTAACTTCTGATTATCTAAATATTATTATGAAATCCGAACTATTATATCATTACACGTACTTAGTAAACGAAGTGCAGATAGAGCAAGAAACAATTGAGAAAAATGCATACAGCAAAGCATCTATAAAGGCTTCGGAAAAAGTTAGCAGCGATTTGCTATTCTCAAAGATGTACACTGTCCATGTTAATATTCATACTAGAGATGTCTCTATTTATTCTAAAATACGTGCATCGTCTATGCAAAAATGACTATGATATTTTGTATCATTTTTTTTTCATCTATCGTCAATGTTGAATACACTTCTTGGATCGCACTTTGAGTCTTGGTTACTACATATTTTTCGTAGGCTTTGATTTTTGAAGAAACTAGTTAGTTCTTTTTTCTTTTCCCTTTTTTTTTTTATTTGGGTACCTATGTTGGATTTTTCTTGTGATATTAGATCTATTGCTTTTCTTTAGGGTTTTAAATGGAGTTGTTTTACTATTAATTAATTTTGTAAAGACATTATTTTTCACTCGTTTGTGTTGTTGATGCATTTACAAAGGCTAAAATAATTGTTTATATGGTAAAAGTTCAAGAAATTGTCGAAAATGTTAGGGTGGAATTGCATGACTCGTGACTTGATTGACCCATGAAGTTTCTTGACGCGATTCCATTTACGATGAAAGAACAAACCATTTGGAACTTCATCCGAACTCTAGAAATGAAGGGACTACTGAGTCAAAGGTCAGGATGAAGCTGTGTGTCACACGCATGCGTATTGGCACGTTGCCTTGGAGTTCATGAAAACAACCTATCATTATGCATTAAATGCCTCGACAATGCATGCATTAGATAAAAACAACGGTCGCGCTACTCGTACAAAGTCAAGTGACAAACCTCCTTGACAAAGTGACGTGGCAAAGAAAAAAAAAAAATTTTGAAAATGACAAAACCCGTATCCCTTCTCTCTCTCCACACTTCCCCGTCATTTTCCCCAAATTCCTTCCAAAAAACCCTTCCTCCAAAAGAGACGAACCTCTAGCAGCCGGTGAACTGTAGCATCTCCGGCGTCATCACAACCTCCGACAGCCATACAAATCCAGCGCCTTGGTTGGGTTCTGCTCTGGAACGATTTTTCTTGTCGAAGGGCGTAGCGGTCTCATTTCAGAAAGAGGTTCACGGTTTGGTCAATACTTTTTACCCAAATTGAATGTAAAATTTTTAGAATCTGCCATTGACTGCATATTTAAAGTAGATGTCGAAAATTTTGATTTTGAAGTTGAACGTCAGTTTTAATGTTTTTCAGTTTGCGGTGGGATATGGGCTCTATTTGCTTGATTTGAGGTTTTACATTGTAATTAGTTGCTGGAGTTTTGGTATTTCAGTTGAACCTTGGATGTAAACGAACTCAGTTTCGACATTTCACATTGATGCTGAAATAGTTGGTGTTGTCATTTTTGTTTCGGTCTGAAGTTAGGTGCAGAATGTAGAGCTTTAACATTGAATTTAGAGTTTGGGTGTTTCAGTTGGAATTGGATGTTCATTTCTCAGTTTGTACATTTCACTGAGATCACAGAATATTTTGGTTTTTCAGTTGGAATATGCTGTGAGTTGTTTGAGTATGAAAATTGAAATTAGAAGCTGGAGTTTTGGTTTTGCAGTTGCAGTTGCAGTTGGATGTTGATTTCTGAGTTTTGGTTTTCAGTTAATCGTAGATGTTGAGTTTTGTGTTTAATATTTTGTTGACATGCTGATTTTTCAATTGCACACTTCACTTCGATGGTCATGGTTTTCAGTTTAACATATATGCTAGATGGTCGTTTTTCATTTGAACATATAAGTTAGATGCTGATTTTATTATTTTGACATTTGAATACATAAATGTAAATTGGTTTGATTCAGGAATATAGAATGCCGGGAAAGAACTC